GCTTTTGCTTCTAATCATGTTTAATGAACTTCCAAAAGTGATTATCACATTGAAACACAAGCTTTGGATGCGTTTTGAGCAAAATAGAAGTCACACTTTTCATGTTTGCAATTTCACACGATTTCCCTCCAAAATTCATCATTTCACACGCTTAAGCATTCCATTAGTTTCCCTAAAAATAGAGGATCATACCTCATTCATTTTCTCAAGCTTAGAGAGCCAGAATCACCCTGTCAAACTTCATCTTGAACCCACTTTTCTGCAACTTCAAATTTGCTTTTACAACTTTCCTCAATCAATTTTCATTGTCAATTATTCATCCTTGAACCTCACTAAAGCTAACAGAAGAAGAACCAAGCTCTAAGACACCCTAAATCGTGCTAGCCAAGTCAAGTTTCAGAGCCCTGAATTTGAACTTCAATAGGTAGATTCCTTCACTAATTCTCTCAAACTTTAATACTGTTATGAAGTTCTCGTCCTTCTGATTCTAGTCACAACATTTATTTTCAACTGGAAGTGAGTTTTGGGCATGAATTTTCAAATCTCTTTTCAAATCATTCCTTCTAAAACGACTGAGCTACACCTTACATAATTTTTTCGCGAGGATACCATTGGAATCGTCTTTAAGAGACGAAGCGAATGGTACCGGTCTCGAGCTCTAATTTTTCCATTTCAGGAACCTACAATTCACATGGATGGAGATTGAAGATGACCAACGTGTCATGTCTCAACCAATGATATCGTGCCACAATTTTTTTTTAAATCTGATTTAATAAGTGATTCAGTGTTTTATTCATTAAGGAGCATGATATGCACAACGCGTCTGATCCAATGGATTAACTTACTAAAACGTTTTGACTCTCATCCATTGGTCTATATTTTTTTTGGCTTTATTTTTTATTTCTGATTTTTATAATTAGTTGTTTTAAACTTCAAAAATTCATAAAAAATTCATTTTAACTTCAAAAAATCTAAAAAAATTCTTAAAAATACTTTTGATATTTCTCTTTCTGATTATTATTTTTTTCACATTTTTATTTTGTGTTTTGATATTTTTTATATATTTTTTCACTTTATTTGAGTTGTTTTAATTGTTTAAAAATACTTTTCTTAATTTTTAAATTCTGAAAAAAATATGGAAGGATCCAATGACCTTTTAACAAATATTGGTGACCTCATTTTATTTTTATTTCTGACTTTACTATTTTTCACACTTTTTGGTCTATTTTGCCTATTTCTTTTAATTTTAAAAATAGTTGCGGACTTTAGAAAAATACCAAAATTTTTATAAAAATATTTGAGCTCATTTCTGATTTTTCTATGGTCTCATTGAATTTTCTTGGATGTTTTGAATATGGTTGCTATTTCCCCCCTTTTATTTTCATTTAAAAACCATTAAAAAAATCTTTTTATTTATTTTTAAATACCATTTTATTTTGTATATATTCTGGTTGATCTTGAACTATGAGATTTTGATCATGAGCATCATTAACATCATTGGATCTTGGGTGTTGAGTTTAACTCCACCAAAATGGATGGATGATTTTAATGATGGCTTGATTAAATTTTTGGTTCAAATGTGATTTAATTCTTACCCTTTCCCTCTTCATCTCATCCTCTTCTTATTGTGTCACATGTTGTTAGAGTATGATATACATATCATCTCTCCAAACATATGACACATGAATTTCTATTGACCGGCCTCAAAATAGGTGCGACTTTTATATAAGTCCACTTACGATTGCTTAACATAACGCTATATTTTGTCCCGATTCGAGAAATGATCATTCGTGGCCCAAACTCATGTTTGTAAGCCCAAGTATGTTAATTTGAATCTATCGATCCAATAACCTTGAGATTCATTGTTAGGAGGATTTGGTCTTATCAATCCTCTAATGAATCTTCATAAGCTTTGGTCAAAGTGAATCACTTAAACATCATTGATCATTTATTGTTGCCTTGAGAATTTTAAATGAATGATATACTTGACAAAAAGCAAATGAAACTTATTATTGAGAGGCTTGATTTTATCAATCTTCTAATGAGTTTCAAATGCAAGTTTCAAGATGGTCATTTAACTAACCTCTAATTTCTAACAATTGACTTTATTTTGTGCTTTTAATTTATGCTTTTACTTTAAGCACATTTATTTTAGCATTTACATTTCATGCTATTTTCATCTTTGCTCATTTGAGCATTTACTTTTATGTCATCTTTATTTTGCTCACTTGAGCTTTTCATTTATTTTTGAAGATAGTTAATAATAAAATTGAACCATAAAAAACTTTAATGTTACTTGGACTACTTGGTTACTATATTTGGCATTATGGAGATTGTGGATTTCTTGCACTTAGGATTAGAAGCCTTGACCTATCTTGGCACCTTGTGACCTCAACTTTTATTTTGTCTGGAGTTCTTGGGGTTTATCCCAATACATTATGTTGTTTGTTTGTTTTGTGTGTAGGTTATTGTGATTACATGCTTTGTCTGTGATCGAGAATTCATCGGTATACAACCGTTACTCTTCCCAATTTTTGTGAAGACTTAATGCAATTGAAGCTTGGTTTTCTTAAGAGGTTTATTATCTTTGCTTGTTTGGTTTCAACCCAAAGGATGAGAATTCTACATTGACTCATTGTATCAAGTGTTGAGTTCTTGTTGGTTAGACGATTCTTTTCCCTAGCTTTTACCTTATGCTTTAGGATAGTCCCTTCATCTCCTCCCATCTTCTTTAATTTCAAAAACCTTCTTCTCCTTTTGAAAACTCTTCTTGTTTTAAAACTTAAACCGTTTTCACAATAAACTTGGACTTAGGTCCATGCATTTTCAAAAATATTTTCTTAATCAAACTTTAATCAACTTAATAATACCTTGAAATTTTTGTGAGAAGACTAAAAGTCAATCAATTTCATTTAAACCATTTTTCCACTTTGGCTTTTTACCTTAAAACTTTTCTCAAAATATTAGACCCTTGTCAATCCTTGTAGTGATGTGAGCTACTATACTTCTACGATATGTAGTGAAGTGAGATATTTTCCACTTGGGTGTTGAGCGAAGCTTTGTTGATTTTTAAAATCCAAGCTATATCCTCCACTTTGAGATGATGCAAATTCTCTTTTTTCATAATTGTGGGTAGTAAGTATGTTTTCCACTCAGATAAGACGATGATGTCTCATCTCTTAAAGTTAACCAACACACTTGTGTTTTAAAATTTTTAAAGGTAAACTACGAGTACCCTGATCCCCTATTGCATGAAAGGTGGTACATAGACACTAAAGGTTCCCAACTGCGATGGGTGCAAAAATCATAAAAAAATACTTCTTTTCTTATCCCCACAATCTATTTCTATATACAACATTTATAGCCAAAATACACAGATTTACAAAGAGGTTCCTGAGCAGTACCGTAGATGTTTAGGGTGCTAATACCTTCCCTTTGCAAAACCAACCCCCAAACTTAGATTCTCTCCCCCTCTTTTTGGGTTATTCGCTCTTTTCCCATTCCCTTGGAAACAATAAAGCGCAATGTCGATTTTTATTTTGATCTGTACGAGTCAAGTCAATCCAATGGCTTAGTCTCAATATTTCTACCGCTACAGTGTGTGCTGCTAATTTCTGTGATGCTAACCTTGCATATATTTTTTTCCACTGTTGTACCTCTGATGTGTATGTTTGATTTATTTTCAAGTATACTTTATTGTGTAAGGGTTGTTTGGGTGTTTTAACCAAAATGTGCCAAAGGGGGAGATTATTATTTCTCTGAAAATTATGATTGGATTACATTTTAGTAAAACCATTTTAGCAGCAAAATGTTGAACAAGATGTTCTAACCTTCAGTTTAAACATGTCGAGTAAGATGTCCCAAAAAGGAGATAGAACATCGCGTCTGCAGCAAGATGACAATTGTGGATTAGCTAATTTTTAGCTACTGAATATTCAGGGAACATTCATTTAGCTTATATGGCATCCAAGATTGATAAATCAGTGTATTTGGTGTTGGTTTTCGAAGATTTGATCAGTTTTTAAATATGGAGACTTTTTAGGAAACTAATGATTGAAGACTTATTTTCTTGGAGGAGTTTTTGCAGACTTTGTGCAGTCTCACTGTTTGATTTTTGAAGCCCAACCCAATCCTGAATGAAGTTATAAATAGACTGGTGTATACCTAGTATTAGGTGGAACTTACATGTGTTTTTGTTAGTGTTTTTAGAATCCTTATTGTTGGGTTGTAAGTTCTTGTCACATGTTCCTAAGCTTTTAAGCATTGAACATTTGTGTGTCAGATGCTCATAAGCTATTTAGCATTGAGCATTTGTGTGTCAATTCTCATAAGCTTTTAAGTATCGAGTTCTGAGTGTTTTGGAAGTGTTTTCTTCTGGTTTTTATTCTTTACTGGTGTTTAGAGTTGCTCCAATTGCTGAGTGTAATTGAAGAGGGATTTGAGGAGGGCATCATACCTAGGTGAGTCTCAGGTAGAAGTTAAGCAAAGGGTAGTGATTATGTGCGCAAGATGTAAACTGGGATGTTTGATGTGAGGTATATAAATTGATACTATCTAGTTAATTTCGTCCCTAGCTTGGTAGCCCCCAGAGTAGGAAGGTTGTTTCGAACATGGTAAACATATCCTGTGTTATTTACTTTTAGTACTGTTATATTTTTGTCTATACATCTTGCTGTTGTGTGTGAAGTTGGATCCGGTGTCTCGACATCTCTTAGGACATCTGAGATCTGATAGCCATAATTTCACACTCCATGGTAAACTTAATGATACCAATTGTTGTACCCCAATTTTTGACCTAAGATCCCATTTTCCTCTGTTCAAAAAACACACACATTGCCACCAAAAACAACACAACAAGAGCAGCAGCAATAACGGATTGGAGTTGTTGCCAAACATTCCGAAAAAAATCCATAACCACCACCGTCTCTTGTTTCTCCTCAATGACAAGATCCTCTTCACTCTCTTGTACTTGGTCTCCATTAACGACAATTGTTTCTTCAATGTCTTACGACAAGGAGCTCGCTGCTGCTAAGAAAGCAGCCACTCTCGCTGCTCATCTCTGCCAGAAAGTGCAGAAGGCTCTTTTGCAATCTGATGTTCACTCTAAATCAGACAAAAGTCCCGTCACTGTTGCTAATTATGGTTCACAGGCCTTGGTCAGCTTGACGCTTGAGAGAGAGCTTCCTTCTCAACAATTTTCACTAGTAGCCGAGGAGGATTCGGGGGATCTTCGTGAGGAAAGTGGCCAGGATACACTGAGGCGCATTACAGATCTTGTCAATGATACTATCGCTAATGAAGGACCACATAGCTTTTCTATTTTAACAATAGATGATGTGCTTAAGGCCATTGATAGTGGTAAGTCCGAAGGTGGTTCCATTGGTCGCCACTGGGTTTTGGATCCAATAGATGGTACTAAAGGGTTTGTAAGAGGAGACCAATATGCCATAGCATTAGCTTTGCTAGATGAAGGGAAAGTTGTATTGGGTGTCTTGGCTTGCCCAAATCTTCCACTAGCGACCATTGGCCATAATGAGCAGCATTCTTCTTCAAATGAAGTTGGGTGTCTTTTCTTTGCTAAAGTTGGTGATGGAACATATTTGCAGGCATTGGATGGCTCTACACAGACGAAGGTGAATGTTAGTGCTGTTGATAATCCAGAAGAGGCGTCATTTTTTGAATCTTATGAAGCAGCACACTCCTCACATGACTTGTCCAGCACTATTGCAGAGAAACTCGGTGTCAAAGCACCGCCAGTCAGAATTGACAGCCAAGCAAAATATGGAGCTCTGTCTAGAGGAGATGGAGCTATATATTTGAATTTCCCCCATAAAATCTCCGTTCGTACCCTTTATTTCTCTTTGACTCTATTGTTCTATTTTGATTTTAGTATGCTTGAATGAGTTTACTGTTATGAGTATTCACGTGGGTGTTTTTGTTTGTTAATTTGAGAGTATTGTTATTCTGATTTTGAAAGAAAAAAGGGTTGTGTTTCTATGAAAGAGAAGGATTATGTTATCCTTTCTCTGTTTATGTTATTATATATAAATTATTTTATTTTTATTTGTTCAATAAAATAAAAATCATGTGTTGCAATGAAAAAAAATATATAAAAAAATATTAGTAAATCTTATATTCAGATTTAGTTTAGTATTAACTTAGAATTTTTTTTAATTAGTTTAGATTTATTTTATAACTTTGAAATATTTAGAATCATAATTAATAACTTTAGAATTTTAATTCAATTAGATATAAATTAGTAATGTTAGAACCTTTAATTAGTTTAGGTATATTTTGATAACTTAAAAATTTTAATTTGTTTAGATCTATTTTATAACTTTAGAACTTCCAATTAGTTTAGATACATTTTGATAACTTTAGAATTTTAATTTAATCTTAGAATTTTAATCTTTAATTTAGAATTAATTTAGTTTTGATTTAAGTTAGTAATTTTATTATTAATATAGTTTAGATAAACTTAGTAATTTTATAATGAATATAGTTTATACTTAAACTAGTTTAGATGTAATTTAGCAACTTTAGAATTAATTTAGTTTAGACCTAATTCAGTAATATTAGAGTGTTAATTTATTTTAGATTTAATTTAATAACTTTCGAATTTTGTTAGTAACTTTAGAGTTTTAATTTAGTTTTAGTTAATAACTTCAAAATTTTATTTAATTTAGTTAGACACTTTAGAATTTAAGTTTAGTTTACTTAGTAACTTTAGAACTTCCAATTAGTTTAGATAATTTTTTAATTACACTTTTCTTTTATTCATGATTCTTCTTTGTCCATTCATTTAGTTTTTTTACGATTTATCTTGTTATCTATCTTGTTCGTTTCTCGTGGATTTTAATTATTTATGATTTTTTACTCGAATAATAGATCTACCTGCTTATGATTAATTCCAAGGGAAATCTTTCAACTCAACTGACTTCATGTCATCAAATACATCTTCTACAATCGTGCGAATACCCTCATTTATTTTTTTCTTATTTACTATTTTTCCAAACTTAAGATAATTTTCCCAAAAGACTCCATTTTCAAACTCATACCTTTTAAGTCAAAACTTTGACACTAGGTCACCGTATCTTCAAAATCTCATCCACACCCATTTTGACCAAACAAACCATTTTAATCAAACAAACAATTTTAACCAAAAACAGATATTTCAAAAGGTTCATGTGGAGTACCGTAGATGCATTTGGTGCTAATACCTTCCCATTGCATAACCAACCCCCGAACTTTAGATCTCTTTCAAAAACGCATTGTATTTTTATTACTTTTAAGTATTATTTTACATTGCATATTTTAGGGTTTTATTTCGCTCTTTTCCCTTTTCCCTTGGAAATAATAAAGTGCGGTGGCGACTCTTGCTTTTTGTGAGTCAAGTTAATTAATAGCTTGATCTCCGATTTTCATCGCTACAAAATTGGCGACTCTGCTGGGGAGAGATTGACCTCTTGCTGGTCCATCCCTAAGTGGGTTAAGCCTAGTTTGTTTTATCTGTTTTATCATTATTTGATTGTTTGATTATATGTATATATTGTGATTATTTGGGTGTTGATAATATTTACAAAGGACAAGTCCTATACCCGGACTAAGTTGCACTTAGGAATAGGACGGGCGGTATAGTCATGTTAACTTTGAGGGAGTAATCCCGAAGAAGGAGGCATGAGATCCCCCACTCAGTGGAAGGCCCTTTTGAAAGTAATATTTGTTTACCGAGTAATCGGAAAGACATTATTATATTCGACTTGGGAGCCAGAGAAGCTGGGAACCGTAGAACCATAACCCATCTTGGCCTTTTAGGTGTAGCGCGAAGATTATAACGGAGTAATCCGGAAGTAATTGTTACGCGATGCTACGCTCGGATGAGTTTCTCTTGAGAATATTGCTGATTATTGAGTAATCAAGACGTTGGTAATATCCGAAGGAGGAATGTAGACTCCGGGAACTCTTAGAACCTTGTTCTACAGGTGTGATTAAACCATTAGTGCACACCTTGGGGGTGTTCCTTACCTTGACCCCATGCTCGTGACGTTGAACCTTTCGACTTTATTTGTGACCTTGCTTGTGGTTGTTGCATAGCCATGCATTCATGCATCCATAAAACCCTTTTCACTTGACTTTAAAGGAATTTGGAGGTCTTTCTTTGTAAACATCACAAGTTTCGTCACGCTCAATGGATCTTGGGTGTTGATAGGGCGAAAACCCTAATCCACCAAAATGGATGATTGATCTTGATGATAACTTGATCAATGTTTGGAGCCAATTTAAAATTCATCTTCTACCTTCATACTTTGATGTTTACAACTTAATATCTTGAGTTCCTTGAAAATCAAATAAAAACTCTCTTTTGCATATCATACATCATTCTACATTTTTTGTTTCACTTTCAAAGGTCTTTTTCCGAGTCTTATTTTTCCTTTGGTCTCAAGTACAACACTCGCGCTAAGAGAACAATGGAGAATATCAAGCAAGAGGTTTCTGAACTCCGTAGAGAGATGACTATTTTGAAAGCTAGTATGGAGCACTTAACTGGTTTGGTCGAAATTCTGGTTGCCGCCCAAGTCAATCCTTCTAGGAGAAAAGAAGCGATGATAAAAGTCTTCACTGAAACTCTGAAATCATTCATTCATGAGAAGATGATAATTAATGCGCCTAGTGACTTTCTTGACAAGGTGAATGTGAGAGTGCGTCTAGAAGAAGATGTCTGAAAGGGATGTTTATATGAAGATGGTAGCTCAGCTAATGGTGTGAAGAAGTTTGATAATGACTTTTCCAAGAAGAGAACCAGAGGAAGAAATAATCATTGTCAGAATCATCATGTTTCTCCTATTCATCAACAGAATCAGCAAGTTCCTAATCAGAGGAAAACCCAGTTTGATCCAATTCCAATTACCTATACAGAGTTGTTCCCTATCCTGATGCAGAGGAATTTGGTTCAGACCCGACCTCCACCGAAGGTTCCTGAGAAGATACATTGGTACTACAAAGCTGATTTGGCTTGTACTTTTCATCAAGGTGCTCCTGGGCATGACTTGGAGGGTTGCTTTGCTTTGAAGATTGAGGTTCAGAAGTTGGTCAGAAGTGGTATCTTGTCATTCAAGAACGTTGGTTTTGAAGCATGTGCCGAAGAGTAAACATGATTGATGGTCACTTTGAGTTTTGAATGATATTTTCGGTAATTCAAGTCCAGATGGAAAGCCTTCCTAGATTATTAACTTATTTCTGCTTTTTGTAATTTTTCTTGCTTATCAAAACATTGTTTGCATGTAAGAACTCGTTTGCATCTGTATGATTATCTTAATACAATGAGTATGTTTGTCTTGAAGAAATTCATTCGTTTCACTCATATTTGTTTTCAAATTTTAAATTTCTTTTGGCATTATGATACCAACTTGTTGCCCATTCTCTTGCCTAGGCAGAGATTGAAGGGAGGATGATGATCTAAAGAACACAAAATCTCTGGTTGTTTGCTTTTGGATAAAATCTTGCTGATGATGTACAGGCATTGTTTCAAATCCTTAAACACTGGAGATATAAGGAAGATAATCCCTTGCTAACCCCTTTTGAGCCTTTGAAGCAGAAGTTTCTTTTCTATACGAAAAAACCTTGAAATTTAACCTGGGGCAGGGTAGTTTTTAGTTAATCTGACTGAGTGTTCAAAATTCATAAGGAAGATGTTTTTTGAAGAGAAACTACGAGGGCTATCCTTCATGTATAATGAATCTAGAAGATGTGGAACCACAATGTTATCCCTCATTCATCAAGAAACGAGGCAGTCACAATCCTCTCAACAAGCAAAGACAAGCTAATGTCACACATTTTGTTCAAAAAGTCAAAAATCAAGAAAAAGAAAAAGCCTGCTAAGTCAAAAACATGAAAACTTACGACTTAGGCAAAAACTAAGGCATCCCGCTGGACTATCAATTCAAAAAATTAGTTCAGGCAAAAATTAGGGAAAATAAAAATTGCAAAGAAAAGGACTGCAAAGAAAAGTCCTCAGCAAAGAACAAATTGGTGACTACAAACACGAAGACATGAGGGTGGTTTCTATTCCGAAAGCCTCGTCGTTTCCTTGACCGTCACATAATCCTTTTGAGAGATGAACACTCATGTTGAATTAACTGAACATAGGGTTGGAGAACATCATGAAGAATGGGTGGGCACCAAATACTTTGAGCCTTAAAATCTTTTTTCTAAAAACCATGAACCAGGCCACGTTACAACCTTTAAAAGTCCTAATTGAAGCAAGGTTATTTTGAAAGCATACTTCAATGAGATAGTGTTCCTGACTCCCATGAATGTTCTAAATAATCATATTGGTATCATATGTTTTTCCTACACAAAAATAAATGATGCTCTAACTCGCAAAAATTTGTGCGATATCTTTTCAAAATATTCAAGACTTACATAACTGTTGCATTAGAATTTTCATTCTCATTGTAAACTTTTTCTAACTGCAAAACATTTGTTTGATATCAAGGAAGCTCACATAAGCACCAGTGATTAGTTTATTCTTTTAAGGCCTGAAACTATGTTGAGTAATTGGCGAATCACGTCAAGAAAAAATCATATCCATGGGCATGTCACCTGAAGACCGTAAGCACGAATATGTTGCTCCTCCTAGTTAATGCTTTTCCCAACTTGTTTGCTCGTTTAGGGGCAAAAAATTCAAAGACTTTGTTGTGCCGACTACAGTCAATCCGGGGCAATCACGTAGAGGTTTGATGAATCTCTCTAAGAGTTTGAAGACACCAGAGCATGGTGAATTCCAGGTCTTTTGTAAAATCCGCTTGAGACGATTTCTCCTCATCAACCATATAGCTCGGGGCATTTTAGAGGTGAAGCTATTCGTAAGAATTGTCGTGCATCACGCAGCTTATCAGCAGTA